CATGAAGAAATCTCATTATTTTCTTTGTTTTCCAGATTTTCAGGGTCCTCTCTCTGGAAGGGTTGACTCTCTCTCTCCTTGTTCTCTTCATGATACCAATGCTTTTGTGCTCTCTTCTGTAGGATATCTCCCAAATCACTGTGTTGTACTTCGTTTATCATTTCAAGGATGGTTTCACACTCGATTCTTGCAAGAAATATTTCAAATGCAGTCTCTTTTGTTTCCTCCTCATTTATCTTTCTGACAAGTGAATACTCTGTTGCTGTTGTTGCAATGTAACCTATTTTCTCCAGTATTGTTTTTACTACGTTTTCTGGGAGCACTGATTGAACACAGTAGACAAAATTACCTGTAAACGTCTGGGAAAAAAAAAAGAAACATTAAGATGGGCATTGAGGGAAATCATGCAGGGGAAGGGGCTTTTTAAACAAGTTCATAACTATTTAATTTTTAACAACTATTTCCCCAAACTGGTGTCACTGAGTTTTGAATTTTGAGGTTTTATACCAGCATTATTGGCAGCCTCCTGAAAACGATTGCTTTGCTCAAGTGCAATAACTTCAGTGGAGCTACGCCAATTTCTCCAGCTGAGGATATGGCCGGTTACCTCACTAATTGAAAAGGACAGTGGCAGCAGCAGAAGATCTTCGTGGCCAGACTAGGATAGTATAAAACTATCAAACACCTTTTCTTGTGTTCCATTCAAGAGCAAAGTCTTTTTCAATTTAAAAAATAGAAACCCCTTGAACACTGAAACTCTCCCATCGACGCAGCGCTGTCTACATGGGGGTGTGTGGGTGGTTGGTTAGTATAACTGTGTCGCTCAGGGGTGTGGATTTTTCACAACCTTGAGTGACGCATTTATACCGATTTAGGTCTGTAGTGTAGATCTGGCCTAAAATATGTTCAGACCAAACCATCTGAGTAGAGTGGAAAAACAGGCTTGTCTTATACAAAGGAATATGGATTTGCCCATCTGCCTGAGTCTAACTTTGTAAGCTAGAGACAATGAGTATATTTGCATCTAAGGTAAACAAAGTAATCAACCCACCAGAAAGAGTTAATTAACAAGAGGACAAAAAAGGGACATGCTCTGCACCCTGCGGAACAAGCAGTAGGGAAGAACTTTGTATGGGGTTACTTTAAAAAAAAATGTTTCAAAGATTTTTCTGAGTTATAAGGAAGAGGAAAAAGACATCACTTAAGGGACAAAAGGGCCAGCACTTCTGGAATCTGTGAAAGGTGTATTTTGCAGCCATGTGGATTAAGGACACTGAGAACTGACTGTGAGTGAGAAATTGCCCCATACCAGGCTTGTAATCTGTTAAATTTTAGACACCAGAAAGTGTATTTTATTTATGGTTTATCTGTACCCATTTTCAGTTTCTATTGTCTCTGCTTATCACTTAAATCTGTTCTTTAGTAATAAACTTATTTTTGGTTTTACCATAAAGTCATCTCAGTGCTGTGTGTTACAGTAAAGCATGAGTCCTCAGCAAAACAAACAAGCTGGTGTGTGCACTGTCTCTTTGGAGGCAGCAAACTTTGGTAATTTCGGAGACTCTGCAGTGATAGGGACAGGGTACTGCAGAGGAGCTTGTAGGGGGTTTACTGAATGTTACCTGCAAGGCAAGGTTAAGACTGGCAGAGTCTTGAGGTGTTTGCTGGTGAGGCGGACAGGCGGGTGTGGCAGGGAGCTGAGACATAGTTAAACTCCAGCAAAGCTCCCTTGCTGAGGCAGAGGGATATCCCAGTGGCTTACAGTTCTGGGTCCCCTGAGAAAGCATCACCAGGTGCTCAACCCTTTCTGGAAATCAGGCCTCTTTTAAGTGTGCCAAATGGGGCCCAAAATCAGTAGTTACTTTTGAAAATCTCGGTTTAAAGCCTTACATGTAAACATTATTGATAATCCCTTCCATTACCTGTATCTGCCTGTCTCCTGCCTTATACTCCCATTGTAAACTGCTTGGGGAAGGGGCTGGTTTTTTTTGTTCTGCCTTTGCATGCTGCCTGGCACAATGGACTCCTGGTCCATGACTGGGGCTGTGAGGGGCTATGTTGATACAAATCATAATGCCATTGTTGGGTTCATTTAAATGAGTCGTATGAATATATGTGCATCTGTTTCTGGAGCTTCCTTGGTGTTAGAACACTAGATTTCCCTCATTTCCCCTGAACCTAGTCTAAAGATATAACAAAGAGCTCCAATGAGCTGAGGTGGCGACTCAAAATTGTGACAAATATTTAGAAAGGTTGTTCAAAGATCATAGCATTATGTAGCTGGAGTAGTCGCTCTGGTCAAGCAAACTCCTGTGCAACTGTCTTGCAGAGGATACTCTCTGTATTAATTTTACGTCAGTCTGTTCCAGGCTCCATATTCCTCAGACTCTCTTTCCCTCATCAAAAGTTTCCATTCCCTCAGGGTGGCATTTATTTTCCTCTTCGTTTGTTTAGCTTTTCCTTATCCCCTGCCTTTTGATAGTTTATGTTATATATTTGCCTGGAGAACAATATGGACAGATGAGCAACAGGTTGTGGGGGAGGGGCATAGTCCATAGGCTGGGTAATTAATCCACAATCAAGGGTGTGACAGTCGAAAACAACATGTGCTAAAAGGCTTCGTGCTTAGCAAAGTCAGGCCAGCCCATCTCTGTGGATTCCGTGGTTGATAGTTCCCACTTCTTCGGGAACTGTTTGACTCTGCCCATATCATCACCTTCCATGGATCAGGCCAGTGTCTGCACCGTATGGTGGAATGAGCAGGGAACAGAATAAGCAAGATCTGTATAGGGCACAGAACTGCTGAAAACTGTGGCTCAAGCCCTGCACAGAGCTGATGCCCCTCCACATCCTTCCTCCAGCCCCCTCCTAGCTCTGGAGTGGGGCTGGCTCACCCACCATGCCACGTCCCTCTGAGTCTGTGCACTGATTTGTCTTGTGTGATATTTATTTGAGCATTAGAATGAATCCAAACTGGCAGCCATGCAGGGTTTAAATGGCATTTCACAGCTCATGCTCTGGGACCCACACTTTTAGAATGATGACATTATGTAAAATTGCTTCATTTTGTCTGATCTGTAGAGAACCCAATTTGCATTAAAAGTAGCCAAGAAAGAGCTGTAATGTTCATGTAGCTTGTTTTAATGTTTATGCTTTCTACGTTAGAACATTACTGCAATGTGGCTGACGTACAAAGGACAAACAGTCCATTCACAAAGAAGAGAATAAACAGACTGCACATCGCTTTTGCTCACCAGTATAGTGCAAAGCATGCTGCTCCCCTCTAGCAAGGCAGGCTACGTAAGCAACGTTTTTCAAACGCACCTAAAACTTGTTTTCAAAAGTGACTTAGGCACTTTGTTGAAGTCTCATTGAAAGTCTTGGGCTCCTAAGGACCATATTTTCAAAGATATTTAGTCACCTAAAGATGCAGCTATGCACCCACGTGAATTTTAAAAAGGACCTGTGTCGGTTAGGCACCTGGTTCCCAAAAGGCTAACCTGCTCAGGTCCTTTTTAAAATCTGACAAGGCACCTAGCTGCATCTTTAGGCAACTAGCTACCTTTGAAAATCTGGCCCTAAGTCACCTAGGTCTACATGCAATAAAACACCAGCAGCTGGCCCATGTCATCTGACTTGGGCACATGGGGCTCAGGCTATGGGGCTATAAAATTATAGCATAGACATCCGGGCTCTGGGACATCCCCAAGGAGGGAGGGTCCCAGATCTTGGGCTCCAGCCCAAGCCTGAAGGTCTAATTGTAATTTTATAGCACCGCACACCCCAAGCCCACATGCCCAAGTCAGCTGACATCAGCCAGCCACTGATGTTTTATTGCAATATAGACATATCCTTAGGCACTTTTTAAAATTTTATCACTTGCGCATAATGGACCTGATTGAAAGCCCACTGAAATCAATAGAAATTTTCCCCTTGACTTCAGGGGACTTGGGATCAAGCTGTAAATCATTAATTTCATTAAAGGTGCAGCACACTGGGAATAAAGCACTACCCTGAGGATTTGATTTATAGCTTTCTGATCCTGTTGCTATGCCACTGTTTTCATCTCATATCCTACCTTCAGCGACTTTATTTCTTTTCTCCAAGGAGAGAGGAACAGGTTGATGCAGAGCAGCTCCAGGAACTCGAAAGCTTGGATGAGGTTTTTGAAAACATTGCCTCCTTGTTGCTTTTTCATCTTTAAACAATTTTCTGCAATGCTGTAGAAGCTAAACCTGCTAAATCTCTCAGCAGGGCAGGCACCAGACTCCAGGAAGTGTTTAGCTTTTGCTTTTATCGTTGTCTCGTTGCAGATCAGAAGTTTTCCTTCCGACCACTTCGTGCCATAGAATGCAACATAGTCTCTTAAAATGTCTTGTTTGGCTGGTGCTGCTGCTTTAAGCTCCTTCATAGTTTGCAGGAGTCCCACACTAGCAAATGTTGCTCTTTAAATTTCAAGCACGTTATGGAATTGTAAATGAGGAAGTTGCTATCCTGCTTTACCTTTGCTTGAGTCTCTTCTGTCTAATCCGGTATTGGCTTCTCGATGGCACTGCTAACAATTAAGTGGTCACATTGTGTGTCAGTCAAGGCTCAAATTACAAGGACAGCTCTTGGGGAATCAGGAAGTAAAAACACAAGTCCAAAGCAAAAGTGAAACTTGCTTTCCGGCTGTTCACCATTTGTGCCTACAGCTTCCTCACTGTGATTACTCACAATAATGGGATACTCCTGGAAATGTAGGGGCCCGGTAAAACAAACTGAATGTAATGACACAATAAACAGCGCAAGGAATAGGCGGCGTTATTCATAATAGTTCATTCAGACCTCCAATCAATAACATACCTGAAGCTACAGTTGCCAACCCTCCAGGATTGTCCTGGAGTCTCCAGGAATTAAAGATTACTCTTTATTAAAGACTGATTGACACGTGACGAAACCTCCAGGAATATGTCTAACCAAAATTGGCAACACTAAAGTTGTTGCACTTTTCCCCTTCTGAACACTGCAGTATTCTACAATAGTGCAGATAGTCCAGAGGAATACAGTTTGCAGCAGTGACTGCAGCATTTTGAGCCAGTGCCGCAGGCAAAACTCCTGTTGACTTTATTTGGTGCAGGATTGGATGGCTGGGGTGGGATGCAAGTGGACTGGACAATGTCATTAGCGCAGCCCACAAAATATTGAGTAGTTTGCAGCAGGAAGGGTAAAGTTCTGTTACCTTTATTTATTCATTTTATTTTTCATCCTTTATATCATAAAAGCAGCTGTTGCATTAGAAACCTGCCTTCACTGTTTACTTTTATTCCCAACAGGAACAGGAACCTGTTGCTGTTTTAATCTAAGGGGTCACACCAATTGGGAAGCGGTGTCATCACTCCTGATAGGTCGGACTAAATATCCAGATCCAAAATTCCATAGCAAGAAGCTACTGGGCCTGTCCCCAGCTCAGTGGATATGTCTGAACAAGGTCACGTGAGTTCCATGCCAAGCTAGACCTTCATTCTACAGGATGCCCTGGGTTTCAGCAGCAGACCAGAAACTCTCCAGCAGCTTTAGGTACGTTAAAGACCGGAGGGTCTGAATGAAATAGTGAATAATGCAGCCTATTCTTTGTGCTATTTACTTTGACATTACATTCAGTTTATTTTACTCTGCCTCTACATTGCCAGGATTCAAATGTGAGCAGTGTCTCGATTTAGGAGTCCCTTCTCCCTCTCACCTTCTTTGGTGGGGTAGTTTTGTAATCTGGATTGTGGATGCAACACCTAGAACAGGGGTCTCAAACTCAATTTACCTTAGGGCCAGTCCTCAAATCCTCCCCTCAGGCCAATAATGTCATCGAAGAAGGTGTTCAGAAAAGAAAACGTTTGTTGTATTTTTTATTTCGAATTTCTTAGAAATAATAAAACTATCATATGACTTTATACAGTTCTTCGCCTGCCAGAGAGTTTTTAGTGTTTGCCAGACACCTGGCAGCGCTCAGTTCTGTCAGGCTGCTGATGTTTGGCTCAGTGACTGAGCAGTTGAAACCTTCAGGATTGCAGCAAGGTGTGCGTCAGGTAGTTGTGTTTGGTATTTTGACTTATTTATATTCAATGTGGAAAAAAGTGACGCTGCTTCCATGGCTGACTCTGCCCGGCAACTAATGATGCTGCCTCCATGGCTGACTCTGCCTGGCGACTAGTGATGGTATCTCTGTCCCTTTCCCCCAGCCAATGGGAGCTGTGGGGGGCGGTGCCTGCAGCAGACATTGCCAGCAGTGTGGCTGCATGCGTCTCTTCTCCGCGGGCTGCAGTGCAGAGCTGGCTCCAGGCACCAGCGAAGGAAGCAGATGCTTGGGGCGGCCAATAGAAAGGGGCGGCATGTCCAGGTCTTCGGCGGCAATTCGGCGGCAGGTCCCTCAGTCCCTCTCTTCCTCCTTGAGCTGCTGCCGAAGTGCTGCCGAAGAGTGGAGCAGCACGATTGAGGTGCTGCCGATCACAGCTTTTTTTTTTTTGCTTCGCCGCTTGGGGTGGCAAAAAGCTGGAGCCGGGCCTGCAGCAGTGGGGAGGTTCTTGGGCCACAGATGGCCTGCGGGCCGGGACTTTGAGATCCCTGACCTAGAAGACTGATTCAGATCTGGATCCAAACACTTCCCAAATTCAGTGGTGTTTGCATTTGGAATCTGGATTTGGGCTGCCTTCTCTTTGGCCAGCACAGTGTTTGTGCCAGTCTTCTCCCAAATGTTAATGTCTGCTCTCCTTATTCTTTTAGTGGTCTTGTAGGACTGCCATTTATATTAAGAACAAATCAGAGAGAGTGTAATTCAGCCTTACTGCACTGATGGCCTTGGAACTGCACCTGCTGATTCCAGGTCTGAATTTGGCTCCATAAATTCTTAATGACGTCACTCATAATCGATTATCCCAGTTACAAGATAGCTATTCATTTTTAAACACCATTTTCTTGTTAATCCCTTTGAATAAATGGTTCCCCTTGATTAATTTTGTGCCAAATCCCAGATTCACATGAACACAGTCATTTGCTGCTCTATCTTCTCATGCACAAGACAGCTGTGCTCTATTGCAATCGAACCAGTTTTGAATCTGACTTCTCAGGCTTCCTAGAAACATGTGCCTTGATAATCATTCCAAGTGAAATGTCATTGAGAATTTCTTATGTAGAAATCATGCATGGATAATTGCTATATAGAAATTGCTGATTTAGCTAGGAATAAAGACATGTCAGAATGAGGCCAGCTGGCCATCTGCTGCACTATTTCAATACCCCTTTTCCCAACCCCTGGAGTCAGAGACATGGCACCGCTGGAGCCTACAGGCAGCTCTGCTGCACCATCGCCATATGCAGACAGCTATTGACCCAAACTGGGGTCCAGTGTCCATGTTGCTGCTCATTCCCCCACCATTATGCTGAGGTGCGCTCTGGATTGTGACAGAGCGTTAAAGACTGGTGGGAGGGAGGAGAGGGGAAGCAGCCAGGACTGAGAGTTGATGTGATGGAGTATGAATGAGTGTGGCAGAGAGAGGCTGACGTCCAGTTATGGGGATCAGAGCTAGAGCTGGAAGATAAAAAGCAGGTCCCTTATTCTAACTCCTGTATTACATTCTCCTAGACAGAGGTGGTGCTTTTTGGTCAGGATTGAAGTACTCTAGCAGGGCAGGAGGTAGACTCTTGCTTTGTTGTTGCGCCAAGCGGCCAGATTTACTTTGCAGTAATGCTGGGTGTGGGTGTGGGTGTTTGCATGCACACAACATGCTGACAGTCACCTAGTCCAGTCTTGCATTGGTTGAGAGGTGTTCCCTGAACTATATTTTCTACTGTTGTCTCTTTAAAGGTCTCCACAGATTGTTCCAAAGGCTTAGAAATCTGGCCTCCAAAAACATTTCTGAGATCACCACCGCAAAACACAAGATGGTACTTGGTTGATGCCAGCTCTCACTCCCAACATGGCCTGGGTTTGTGCCGGTGACTTAGCTGTGCAAGGTGCAATAGTCCATTTACAATTCCTTAAGCCAAACAGACTCCCATTAGATGCATTCCTTTTTTTTTTTTTAATCAAAAGCACATGAAAGAGTTTGTTGCTCAGTCCGTGCTTTGCTCTTTCCTCCGTTTCTTTTACCGTTTGTGACACAGAAATAAATCTGGCTTTAACCTCACGCCAACATAAAATATCTCGTTGGGAGCAAAGCTGTGACACAACGATCTTGTTTTTACAGGGATCTTTCATTGCTTCATCTTTGTTGGCATCTAACTTGGCAAAAAGTGCCTCTCCACCTTGAATTTATTGGATTCATTCAGAGCAAAAGAGTAGAGAGAGCTCACCAGATATATAGCGGTAAACAAGTGCTTGTCACTGCTGGGATGATTAGTGTAATATTTATGTTCCAAAGACTGCAACTAAGCAAAAACCTGGTTAGCAGTTCCAAGAGAGAAAGAATGATGATTCTGAGGAAACTGAGGACCAAATTCAGCTCTTGCATAAGCAAGCACAATTCCCATGGAATCCAAGAGGTATTGTGCCCACCTACACCAGAGCTGAACTGAACCTGGTGACTAAGGTTTAGATTCACAAAGGTACTTAGGGATTTGAAATTGGGTTTCCTTCATCCCTGGTGAGTGCTCTGAATGCTGGGCTATTGGCTATTCCAGGGACAACTAGGCACACAATTCTCAACCTGCTTGCATGGGCTATCTTTTGTATGGGACCTGATCCTGTCTGTGTGCGCCGAGAACACCTCCAGGATTGGGCCCTGATGGGAAGAGAGGTAGGGGAGATGCCTACATGAGCGAGGGCTCCAAGCTGCTTGGCTGTGCGGTGGCATCAGGATTTAGTGGCTCTGTGCATGCCCACAGGGTTAGGCAACAGCTGAGTGGTGATACTGAGAATGTCAGCGGCAGTTAAAGAGGCAGTTAGGTGCCTAAGTCCCTTTGTGAATCTGGCCCTGCAGGCCTGATTCTTTTCTTCATCAGGCCAGTCTCTGCCAGCAGAGGGATGTTATTAAAATCAGTGGCTTTATGGATTTATCAGGAGTAAAACTAGTGTAAAGTGGGGGGGAATCAGGCCCTAAAAACGAGCTGGGAGCAAATTGTCTGCTCACTCCAGACACCCTTAAATACCATCCTTATCTCTGGCCATACTGAACGTTGAAGCCAATGTGCCTTTTCATCACTCCTGCTCGTTCTGTCTCTCTGTGGTGAAGTGAGAATGCTTACACCGAAACGGACCTGTCTGAAATTGGGCCGGGATGTAGAGTTTGACGTTGCTGTATGAGAGATGCCTATTGCTGTATATACTGAAAAACTAACGAATGCTCAGGCATGCGAGGAAGCGAGCTGCCTATAGAACAGCAAAGTCAAGTAGTAAGGGTCTGAACTTGGATCTGTTCTCTGTAAGGCTAGGAAAGGTGGCTTAGTGGACAGGACATTGGGCTGCGATTTGGGAGACTTTGGTTCAATTTCTGACTCAGCAACAGACTTCCTGTCTGGCCAATGGCAAGTGACTAAATTTAGGCTAGGTCTACACAGCTGGCACTTTACAATGAATAGCAAAAAATAATCGACAATTGTAAGGTGACTGGCTTGACATTTTTACTTTGAAGGCATGGCTGGGATAGCAAGAGGTTCTTGTAAATTGTTCTATTGTTGGCCTTCTGGGAAAGTCCTGTAGAATTGATCAAAGGATCCTGTCCTGTCTATGGGTTTTTTTGAACCATACTCTAGAATTCTAAAGCAGGGATATAATTCTCTATTAAATGGAATTGTTTGTCTTAAAAAAAAAAGCTATAGCAAATTTATAATTTTCTGTTACATTCTAGGGCTTTTCCAGAAGGGTAGAATGGGACTGGGATGTTTACACCTGCACTTATTCTTCATTAGGATCTATTTCTTCATTCATCTCCTCTAAGAACTAGAACATTGGTTAACACAGAGCATCGCTATTAATAAAGTTGACCTGATAAACGTGTAAGGAGAAAGCAGTTCCGAGCATGTACATCACTGATGCCCTCACCTGTTTGCAGAGGAGTTAAAAGAAAGACACCTTTTAAATGATTTGACAGTAAGCAACTTGACCTACAGGCAAATGAAAACGTTCTAGTCATGAGCATGCAGAACTACTTTGCTGCCTCAAAATGTATCCTACCTAAACAATCTGTTTTACTCCACACTTTGTCCTCTTTCACAGTGATTCAAAAAAGGGACAATGGATAACTAACAACGTGTGGAAGCTTTTCTTGTGTGTGCCTCATTCTGAACCTGTGACAGCACAGGATATATTTTGCTTAGAAGAAGCCTGAAATGTACCATTGTGTAGAATAATACTCCATATCATAATGGGAAGGCATTTGAACAGATGCTTAACAACAAATGTGGTGAAATATATTGCACATTTCAGTTATTTAAATGCATGAAAACCAAAGATCTAGGAAAAAGTGTAAAATTCAAGGTGAATATACATTAGTTTTGTGCAGATGCTACAAATGTCACCATATTTATTTGTGCATAGTTTCTATGAAAATAGTTGCAGTTGTGAAAAATCTGTGTTTGAGAAACAGAGT